CCTTAATGGATTTCTATTCATTGGCCAGAAGAAGAAAATACATATATGGACTCGATATGAGATACAAACACTCCATTCGTCTGCAAATGCTTCTCTTCATCATGGGATGAGATAAGAAAACAATTCTTTCAGAAAAATACATTTTTTCATTGATTATCCGTAAGGATTTTATCACGAAACTATTCGCAAATCTGTTATTTATTCTGTCACCACTTAAGATTGTTTCAATCTAAAAAAAAAATATATATTAAAAAAGTCTCAAGGATCTTTGGTTAAACAATTGCAGAATAGAAATTGAATTTCAGTTAAAAATTCCGTAAGAAATAAAAGTCTTTTTTTCTTCTTTGCTTTTGGAAAGATAAAAACTTTCAATTTAAAGTGAGAAGCTTTCCAAGGCAGATTGAAGCAAAGAGATAGGAAATATGTCTTAAGTGAAATCATATTAAAATGTCATAGAACAATCTGGGAATTAACTTTTCAAATTATTCACCATGCTAATTTGCTAAAACACCCAGAGATTATGTCTTAAGATAATGGATGAAGAGTGCTCAAGTTGAAAATTTCATGCAATTGTTACTCGTCTAACGAGAAATTGCGATATTTTTAGTCAAGTTCTTTGCAAGTCGATATGAATCTCTCCTAAAACCAATGCAACTTTCGGCAAACTTTGGCTCTTCATGTTCATTCATTTCAACAATTGCAGCTCAAGTATGAAATTACATTTTCCACTGTGAGAAAGACTGCATGCAAGGGAATAGAATTAATTGTTCAGAGCAGATATTCAGAGAGCTTTTTCCAAATATGGAAAGTCAATACTTTCATTCTGTTCTCGCAATCAGAAAAATGTTAAATTTTTCATTAGACGTTCGCACATCTTGATTTTGGAACTCAACATCTTGAGATTAAACTCTTCTTTCAAAGGTATTTGTACAATATTCAATCACACCACTTATCGTGAAATTGCTCGCGAGATAATCGACATGGAAACCAAGAAGTCGTCTCGTGTGTTTGTCTGAGAAAACCCAATTTGTGGGAAAAGCATTTTTACGACCTATTTGTATCAATGGATTGCTTGAATGTTATCAAGAAAGTCCTCTAATTTCATTTTTGCGCTCTATCGCACACAATTGTCTCCAACGGACTGAGAAAAAAACCTAAGAAAACACACGTAGATAGTCTTTCGTCAATTTGTCATTTGGCTAACACACGCATTTGGTGCGAATTCTGGTTGTGGCCAGTTCGTTTAGGATTAATTGCCCTTGTTTGGGCATTCACACCATTTATCAAAAGCAGAAAAGAGGTGCGAATCACGTTTCTTTGCGTGCCACCCCAAAAAAATAACACACTCACACATGTGATGAAATTGTGTCATAACTTAGCGATATGATATACAACTCAATTTAGTCCAAAAAAAAAAAAAATCAAAGGCAAAACAGCAAAATTCCACTTTTCCCGTCAACGCCGAATTTTTAGCACTTCTTGCACTACTCTGACTCAGCAAGGGCATGTCAGTGAAAAGTTTCTACATTCACAGTGTTCTTTCAATTATATTTTTTGGCAAATTTCCCCACTTTACATCAGCCACACACTAATTTAATTGATATCAAGCACACTCTGTCATGGCACGCAATGAAGTTTGAACAACTTAATCGGGAGAATGACAAAAAATTTCGACATGAAAATCATGCAATTGGGAATGAAGGTGATTTTTTGGTAAGAAGGTTAGAATCAAGGGGGACATAATAGGGTCAGAAGTGTTGCACAGCTTAGCAGAAGTATTAATATTACTGAATTTCTATTGATTATTATAATCTAGAAATCTATTCCTTTTATAATAGTTGTTTGTTCATGTAATAAAGGATTTTTCGTGCGAGTTGTGGAAGTAATATATAAATCTTAGCCATTATTATCTCAACTAACTTCTTCATCATCTCAACTTATGTAAAACTTTCAAAATAAATTTCCGCTGAAAATTCCTTCCTTGAAATTTCATAATATTGCACAAAACAAATATGTTTCAAATTTAATAAAAAGGGTTTCGTGATCTTACTTTACTCGATGCTTCACATCCATGAGGATATGAATTGTGTGGCTTTCGCCACCGCCTAAAGTGCTGTTTCGTGTGCATAAAGTTAGGGCTCCTAAATGGTGTCAAAGTCTACCTAATATAATCAGTGTCAAATGGATACTGTACACGAAAATAATATATAGATTATGGTCGGGAAAATATGACACCATAATTTTGCAGTCGATGGTAATTGTTTGTTGAGGAAACAATTATCCCATTAAAGCAATTTCATATAGAATTTCCTACATCGCGCTGGAAAACGAAAACGTGGAATTTTGCATCAACAGTAAATAACTTGCCGCAGGAATCTCGATGATAATATGAAATTACTCCTTTGCTGAGAAACCTTAATTGTAGAGTCAACATGGACGGAGTAATTAAACAAGTGTATTAAATTTTATCGAGTTCCCTCATATATATATTTCAGGAAAATCTCCAATCAATCAATAGAGTCTCAAGTGGAAATTAAACAGCAACTTTGACATATCTTATTATGTCAATATTTATCTGGATTTACATTTATATCATTTCGTTTTTATCTCATGACTGACTTTTAGCACATTTGGTCATGAGACAAAATGACTGTCATATGAACAGCACGTGAGATTTATTTAACAAGATAATTCTCCTAATAGCCTGTTTCTCATATCATCATTTTACTGGTTAAATTATTAAATTTTGGGTTACAACCTTGGTTACAACTTGTTTTGCTTTGTATGTGTAAAAGCAAAACTGACAAGCAGCGGTGCTAATGATGATTATTGTTATTTGTACTAAAACACAATTAATTTATCTCTCGCACTCTCTTTATGTTCTTCGCCATCGCGAAATGGCATCACTTTACGATGTCATTTTCTCCTTAAGATTTAAGATAAGATTCACGTTTTTAGCAAATGTCTCTCTCTCTCTCTCTGCAATTTTACCCCATTTAATTGCCTATTTAATTGCTAGTTGAATGCCATAGAAATCACACAGCAAAATGACCTTTTATTGGTCCAGATGCGTTGCAAAGCGGAACAATATAATGTCGAATAGTGACCGCATGAGAGCTTTGACGTTCTAATTACATTCATCGTTCGCTATTCGGCAAACTTGTGCCCTTTTGTGTCATAGTGAATCCTTTGTAAAGCATATTCCATTCTGGAAATGAGATTAGCAAAATGGAGTCTCCCTTTTAGTCATACCAACGAAGACGATGTCTCTTTAGAGTAACTCAATTATGCTCCCTCTTGTTGAATGGCAGACATGAAAGTTATTCCATGTATTGTCATCCGAACCTTAAACTCTCTCACGTTTCCCAAGCAATTCTCATACTTTTCCGTACATTTTCACCACATCGGAGCTTTGAAATGTTGATATGCTTTTTAGATGTTGTTGCAATTCTAATTTCAATGAGTTATAGTTTCACTTTTCACTGCTAAAGTTTCGGTAAAATCACAAACACTTCTATGGGAAATTCTTAAGGAAAAGCTACGAGAAATCTAATGAAATTAGACCTTCACCTCTCATATCATTTTGTACACGAAACTTAATGACTATTCCATAAAGATCGTATTTAAATAACATTCATGGAGTGTTTTATACGAAAATGAGACATTGATACACTTTGTGAGCTCCTCAAACATTCGAGTAATAAAGCAATTTTATTTATGAATAAAATATCATTTCAAAGACTGTTTCTGAATATTTCAATAGGAAAATGCGAAAGTTTCAGGTATTGTTTAACAGAATTAACACAATAATTAGAGCAAATGTATGTTTGGAAAATTCAATTTTAAGTAAAGTAACAATATTCTAAACATTAAAACAACGTTAAATAACATAACAATTCAAATTAAGACGATTTGCTGTATTCACAGTGAAATACTCTTATAAATCAAGACCCCACACTCCCCTAATCTGCGCTTTATCCAGTGAAATAACATCTTAATCTTGTCAGCTTGGAGTTCTAGTATATTCACAAGTGCGGAAAACAAGGAAATGCAGAACTATAAACACACCGTATATAATTCTATCCATGTTGTGGCTTTTCCAAAGTGAAAATCTTAGACGAATTTGGCCAATTGCCAGAACTTTTGCTCTCCCCGGCAAAGCAAATGTGTTCTCAGCAGGAATTACAGATGGATTTGTCCAACCTATCATTGACCTATTTATTTGCATTTTGATACAATTTATACTCACTTTCTTCCCCATTTCTATATATTTACTCAAATCAGAAAAAATAGGTCAGGAAAGCTCAGTCTTTGGCAACGATTTCAGCTGATAATTTACACTTCAGGGTCAAGTTAATAATTCTGCATGAATGGAGTTATTCATTATTTGCTAAGTACAGAGGAAGAGACATAAAGCCAATACATGGTGAATGGCAAATAATTACGTCTCAACAGCACTTGGGTGCATTTTTACGCGCAGGGATTAATAATTCAGGAAATAAAAGCAAATTGAAGTAAGTGTGAGGAATTGCATAATTTCTCGAGAGCTCTGATAATGTCAAGAGTCATTGCAAAATCTGCACACATTCTGAGTGGCTATCAATTAAGAACCAGGAACTGTGATATTATGTAATTGAAATATTATGAAATTTTCACCAGAAATTCATCGCCTTTACCAGCAACTTTGTTCAATCATGATGTAGTGTTAATTATTACAAATTGGACAATATTAAAACTGATGTAAAAATGAAAAATTCATTGCCTCTTCAGAGCAAATGAATTCATCATCACATATTTACAAGTGACTAAAATACAGCTGAAGTGAAGCAATTCAGTCTTTCAATTTTGATGCTCAAGAATTTTCTACGCAGGAAAATGTTTTATTAATAGACTCAAAAAGCTGACGATGAAAAATTCTTCTTGGCCACTTTCTCATTATTATTATTATTTATTAACAAGGAGAAAAAAAGGGAATGATGAGGATCTTTTTGGAAACTAACCTGGAGTTCTTTCGTGGAGAAGTCGTCCTGTGGCCGCCTCTTCGTCCCGCTCCAACTTCGGCTGGACTCCTTCTGCCTTTGTTACTTTAAACCTGTCCGGCATTTTCCCGCTTTCCCAGCGCCAAGTCGGCTACTTTGGCAAATTGGACAATCACTGATTAAATATGTATAACTTTTGTCTCTCAGAATATTCTCCTAAAAGTTCACCTTTTGCACCCCTCAGCGAGACCTGATGGAATACAGACAGCTAGAAAATTGCTTTAAAATTTAATCCTTTTTGTCAAACCCATAAACCTCTTCTCTGTGCTCTGGCTCATTGGCGTTGCAAACAAAAAAAGGGCGCTAAAGTGCCGACCGTACCTTTTCCCAATGCGCGCGTGTTACTATTAAAAATTTAATCAAATTAGTACCAGTTGGAAAATGAATTGTCAACAGACGACAATAACAATAATACTCTTGTGTCCATAGACACTATAAATAAACCACTTTTCCCGTATACACATATTATCATGGAAAAAAAATATCGATGTTGGAAAATATATTAAACAGCAAACGGTTGTATTGTTTGCAACTGAGTGACGCTGACTCTTCGGGCAGCCTCACCATCTAATTGATTGAATTGTATTTAAGTAATACATAGCATACATAATAATAAAGTTCTGTCTCTCTCTCTCTCTCTCTCTTTCACTCTCTGGACACTTAATTGATCCACACGCAAACGCGTCACAGACTTATTTAATTGAATCTGCCGGATCGTTGTATTTCTCCGCCAGTTTTGTAAATGAAAAGCACATTTTCAGAGCACACTGGCGGTCAGAGAAGTAGTAACAAATCATTCATTTATGTAGAGGTGGAGCTTTCATGTGGGTGGAGCTTAAGGTATTATCAATGAATTTAACAATACTCTCCTCATTTCGCAGTTAACTGTCTTTTCACGAGTTGTATTCAACATTGTAAAATAAACGTACAAGCATATTTTCAGGTTAGGATTAATTTTTTTTCTGGTAAATACTATGATTTCTTCCCCAGTACAGCTTTTTAATAGAAAATATAACGAATTTTGTAAAATATTACATAATATTATCTTGAAATTTGAAGAATTTAAGTATAAGATTCATGTTCTCGTATCTTGCATTCTTCGGCCATAGAAATTCTGCGTTCCATGAAACTTGTTGCATGTGTCACCGCGTCTTTCCCAGGGACTTTTCTTCGAAAAGTACAATTGCCATGTGTAAAAAAGAATATTATTATTATTATTGAAGTAAAGAGGTATTTTGAAATGTCAAGAGACAGAAAAAGAACTTTTAATTTGCATTTCAGGCATGTTACACTTCTTCTGGCCGCCAGTGTACAATGAACGTCATACGTACAACGATGGCACATTTAGTAGCACCCAAAACGAGTGGTCTTTCCCACTGAATCCACTTGATGGATTATTAAAGTTCCGAAACACTGTCGCTAAACTATTTCCACAAAAAAAAGGATCTTCTCCTCAACACACGTTCTTTCCCACCCACAAAAAAGGCGCAGAAAAACACACCCAAATATGCAATCTCGCACTTCTCACATAAGAGACGCGTCTGAGCTGAAAATTCCTCACCCTCTCTTTGGCATGTGTGCACAGAAATGTTCCTTTTGCACTTGTGCAATGTCAGTTGACTTCTTAAATATAGAATCCCACCCACTTTGGAGCACTCGCAACGCAGAGACCTTGAAATGTATTAAAGTGGGAGACACATTAAATAAAGTTGCAATCGATATTTTGATGGTTGAAAGCGAAGAAGTTTTAAACATCGATTGTGAACGGCAGGAAGTGTATATACACTGAATTGCCACGTTCTCTCTTCCCAGGATGTTCTCGCGCACATTCACCGGAACAGCGCAGAAACTATGCAAATGGCTGTTTTTCTTCTATTTCTTTTTTCTGATTCACAACAAAACTATTCTCCTCAAGAAGCACTGGTAAGCGCAATTTCACACCGCAACAATCGCACTCCTAACGTGAGGACAAAAGCGTCCGACCGGCCGAGAAACTGCCAATGAAGTGTGCGTCGGTGGCCAGTTTGAGAAATTCGTTTTTGCCGCAGACGACGAACATCCAGAGTCAACATACACTCGGACACACGATAAGATACAAACACTGTGTGTCGCAGCCTGCAAGATAGAGTGGGAAAAATACTCTCTTAACCGTCATATCGCAAATTGATTTTCACACTCATGATTGGATAGCACACCCAAATCATAGTTGGACAGATTAACTTATCGTTCTGCACATGAAATATTGACAAGGCGCGGGCGGGTGAAGCCGATAAAAGTGTGTTAAAAGTGTGGCAGAGTGCTCGCCACTGCATTTTTACAGTAATGTGCTCAAAATCAAACTATAAACAAGCAGCAGAGGATTGAATTTGCGTGCGCTTTATCACATTTCAAGACAATACCTTACACAGTGGGCAGAGCTTTTTGAAAGGCGGTGATTCACAATATCAAAAGAATGATTTTGCCTTTAATACATACAATCAAGCATTGAATTGCTGAAAAAAACGCATTAGAAGCGAATCAATTGAAGATATTACACTCTTAAAGAGGCGGAGCATTTGAGTAGGCGGGGCTTCAAACGGTTACAAAGACCTAATTTCGGATTTGACAAATCAATGCCTCTTCTGGAGGCCTAACTCTCGTCTGCACAATAAACTGTCACTTGGGAAGAATAAGGTTTACTGCTGACGTCAGTGCAATAAAAGAGCAGTAAAAGTCACGAGTATTTATCAAGTATACACATTTTATATGTGGCATTTAACACCGATTGCAACATTCGCTTCCACATACATAATTGTCCTCTGAATAATGGGATTGTTTTCCAGAAAAACAAGCAATAAAAACACATCGTTTAGGGACACACAAAAGGGTTAAACTTGAGAGTGGCGTGAAGGTCACGAGACACGCGTTATCACACACAAAAACATCATACTGAAAAGTCAAGACATTAATCAATGAATGGCAATAACGCCCCTCGTCGTGGCGCACCTTCGCGAGCATTTAAGGAAAGGCAGTGGGGAAATTCTAAGTGGAGGCTCTTCGACGTGACTCTGTGGGTGAAAAAATACTCACTAAAGCGTAGAAGAATTGCAAGATTATCCTTGAAATGAACTCACGTTGAAGCACTCATTCCAATACTTTCGCAATTAATCAGAAAATGTTTCGTGAGCATAAAATCGAGGGTGGAAAAGAGGCAGAAAAGCACAGAATGTTATTATCTTATCACAGACACTATTGTACACAATTTTATATTGATAAGATAGCAGAGCACTTTGATGAATATTGTGTCCTATTTTTGACACCTTCAGCACCAGGTTGGGAAAGTGCAGGAATGCCCAAAAAGGTTGCTTATATGTAAATTTATAGTCAACAAAAATATAGTCACATTGAAGCAGGTGAAATTTCCTGGAACATCGCAATGTTCAATATTGATTTGGCAATTATCTCGCCGAATTAGCAAGTGACTGCCGATGACAAAAGCACTCATGGCACTTATTGACAGACAAAATTCAATTCTAACACATTATTTGTCTATAATTTTTCCCAATAAAGTCACTTCAGTGCAAAAAAAAGACCAACAGCGTTTTTTTTTCGTCTATTTCAGGCGAATTCACTGGAAGAACAAACAAAAGTAAGGAAATTCCAGAAATAACAGAAGATTCCTCTTCTCCCATGATAGAGATCTAAGAAGATATGTTGAGAATTTATGACCTGCGGAAAGTCATATTGCGATATGAATTTCGCTTGACACACACACACCATATGAAAATGGACTGGGAAAAATGTCAATATTCAGTGTACATTTGAAAAATTCACATCCCCAAAAGGAATAGCAAATATAGCATATGGAGATTTCTTTTTTTTTTATTAGTAACATTCTCTGCTTCATTACACTTTTATAGAGGCGCACAAATCAACGAAACTAAATCATTCACACCAACCACACGTGTTGGAAGCAATTGAAATTAATAATGTGACATAATACTTATAAATTCAAACGGCAGAGATTACGCACAGAGCCCTAATTTGCCACCGAATATAATTAATTTACCAGAATTTATTCAACCTGTGGACAATTACTGAAAGTGTCGGCAATCTGCATTATAATTGAATATACACATTTTGAACTGAAACTCAAAGGTTTCAAATGTCAAAGGTTTGTCAATAAATTGAATAATTATTAATTGCCTTATTTTAAATGCTATAAAATTTGAATTGAAATATCATATCGAAAAATTCATCCTATTTTCCATACATTAAATGTAAATTTCTAAACTGATTCCCACTTAAACTAAGGGATGTTAAAGATACATTATACTAGTTTAAAACAGTCTTTAGTATTTACATGAGGCTTTAAATTACGATTTAGCTCGAATTTTCATCACTTTTGTTCAAATAAATTGAAAAAAATAGAATAACTTCTGTTCCAATTCTCAATAATCTCGATGAATGGAAAACTCTCGGAAAATTTCTGAAACTCAATCAAACTATTTATTTGATAATATAAAGAAGATTTTTCCTTCCCTCTGTATACTTCAGATCCAATTATAAACTGTAAAATTCGAGAATAAATACATTTTCAAATGAAACACAATTTTTAAAATAAAATTGCTTTCTCCAATTTCTCCAGGAAAAGCTATCGAGTTCTTCAAAAGCTTCGCTTTGTCAGTTTTCCCAATTATTTTTGCAATATCAGAGGAATTCTATTTGCATCTGTGAAACTTGTGTCACTCACAGCGATGGCAACTGTTGGCTTCTCTATGCGTGCAGACTATAAATGATCGGAGGGGCTGAAAAAGGGGAGTCTGTGGCGTTTTGCATGGTACACACTCACTCGACCTCTGTGCTTTCAGAAGTGCCCATCGCAGTGCAATATTTTGTCTGTCGAGCCACTCAATGCTCAGTGGTGGTTTTGTCACTAAACATTCATATAGAGCCGAGTGACTGACACGATTTAATCTCATAGCTCACACCCGCCGCCCTTTGGCTTGCAGGCAACATGAGGCAGCTTGCCTACACGATATAGACTCAATAATTCAGTGTGAATTGGTTACAGGGCGCGAGCAAACCTTCGTCAATAATTCACAGAATGGATTTGTAATTAAAATTAAATTAACGCGCACAAGAGCTAAGTTGCGGACAAAAGAGTGAGATAATGAACTATTCTGCTGATGCTATGGAAACATAAAGTATTTCATATTCACTATTTGGCAGAGTTGATCGACAACTCATTTTCACTGTTGTGCATGAGAAAAAGAGTTAAATTTTTCGGGAGAAAATACAAATTTTAAACCTCCATATTCACCTGACGTGATAAATGCCGTCAGAATGTCCATAAAATGCCACTGAGCGCCATGTGAAATCGGCGCTCAGTGGGGAATAATTCAGTTCGGCGACTTGAGGAAGCGCTTCAGGACATTGTCAAATGCACTCCATCGTCAATTTGCCTATGACTGATGTCCTGACACTCTTCGCCCAAAATATTTATGTGGGAATCGTGGAGTGAAAATGCCAACATTTTCAACGAAAATCCCTCAACTGTGATTCATGCATGAATAATCGACTTTGGCAGTCAATTGCAAAGCACGCCTCTTTGATGCACACAATCTGCCGTCTTTTGCCATTCACACGACTGAATCGCTAAACTGGCTTGAATATCTACTGGATTCTTAGGTGTTTGCAAATAGAAATGGATCAAAACATATTTCCTTTTGCTCTAACCAAATATATGTAGTAGAAACCAATATTCTTCTGATTCTTGCCAATAAAAATGTGTATATGGTGAATTTTTCTATAAATTTCATTTCAAAACTCAATTGCGATGAACCGCAATTGCAATTTGGTAGCCAATATGAAACGTGACAAATTTTTCTATTTATATACTATGGAGGAAAAATTAAGTCATGGCGAAAATTCATTTTACAATTATTCTGAACACTTTTGTGTGAAAAGCATATAAAAAATGTAAGAAATTGTTTTGATATAGAACTAGAATTAAAAAAAAAACCTTTTTCTTCTATTGTGCGAATCTGAGATAATCTCAGTTTAATATTTTATTTATGCTGAACGCGTTAATAGAACATTTATCTTTATGTGACGCACGCGTCTTTTTTTTATAGATTCCATGACTCACGACAATAACGCCAGCGAGACACCTTCTAAATCTGAACTTAAGTGACTTAAAACATTTCACGCTTGAGCTGAAGCGGTTTTTTTTTGGGGCGGCAAAAGCGCCCAAATTTAATTGCCGTGAATTTTCACTGGATTTCAAGCGGCGTGGATTTGACGATTGATAAGCGCTAAAAATCTCTCTTTGCACCGATTTACACAGTTGCTCGAATTGAGCCTTGACGATCGAAATGCCAGCGTGTGTCGACACTTTTGGGGCGTCTCGATCAGCTGTTTTCCCAATCGATATCGATTTCTGCAGTGCCTCGGAAAAAAGGCCGGCGCGCGAGTGCAATTGTGTGCGTGCGTGTTCTTGGAGATTCTGAGAAAAGAAGTGAGCGACATAGAGTGGAAAATCGATGGAGAGTGGCAGGAAAGCGGCGGAAAATAGCCCACAAAGTCACATTCAATCAATACGGCCGTCTCTGGCGCTTACCTTCGTGTGATAAAGGCGAGATTGGAATCCTTCAGAAGGACTCATCAGACGGCGAGACTCGCCAAGGATGTGCCGTTCGATTGCACTGAATATTCACGCTGTCTTCGCGCTTGGCGCACTTTTCGCGGTATTTGCACGAAATCACTGGCATCCGAGGAACACGTTGCCAATATTCCCCAACGGGTTTTCACGTAATTCCCATCGGAAAATCACCAATTATTTCAACACATTTTATACCACTCTCAGTGTTTTTGTTGACACACTCTCAAGTCGACGTCTAATAAACAAACGACACTTCAGTGGCCGATCACAGGTGGCGCATTGTCGCAACCCGGCGGATCGACTCCCCGGTGGCGAGCCCCGGTGGCGGGCGTCCGTCGTCAGTCGGCCCGATTGTCTGCTGACGGTCAGAGTGGTCAACCGACTGTATGTAAACAGTCGGCCCATTTGTCACCTGACCAAAACGGACATTTGCCACAGACATTTACATTGGAGTGTGACCGAAAGTCGGGAGACATTCGGGCATGTGTCGGATGTGCCAAAAATGGCGCCTTTGCGTATTTTTTTTTCATGGCGAATTAAATTAATTATTTTGAAGAAATTAATTAACTCCCAGTAATTATATTTATTACATGCGCGTTTTTTATGATCAAAAATATGCCGGCATGGGCGCACGATAAAGAATTTAATTACGGCTCGGAAAAGTATTGTCCCGACCTGAAAAGAGTTAAATTGAGCGATTTCCGCGATTTTCTTTGCATTTGGAAAAATTCTCATTTTGGCCGAAAATTCTGACGTCGCCATGTTGCCAACATCTGCTAACTTCAGACCGGTGCCACCCGACAAACAACCGACAGTCGCTTGTTTGTCTCAACGGACGACAGTCTCGTGACTGTAGAACGACGTTGTCTGTCATCAAGACGACCGCTCGCCACCGGGGCGGTCGTCTTGATGACAGACAACGTCGTTCTACAGTCACGAGACTGTCGTCCGTTGAGACAAACAAGCGACTGTCGGTTGTTTGTCGGGTGGCACCGGTCTGAAGTTAGCAGATGTTGGCAACATGGCGACGTCAGAATTTTCGGCCAAAATGAGAATTTTTCCAAATGCAAAGAAAATCGCGGAAATCGCTCAATTTAACTCTTTTCAGGTCGGGACAATACTTTTCCGAGCCGTAATTAAATTCTTTATCGTGCGCCCATGCCGGCATATTTTTGATCATAAAAAACGCGCATGTAATAAATATAATTACTGGGAGTTAATTAATTTCTTCAAAATAATTAATTTAATTCGCCATGAAAAAAAAAATACGCAAAGGCGCCATTTTTGGCACATCCGACACATGCCCGAATGTCTCCCGACTTTCGGTCACACTCCAATGTAAATGTCTGTGGCAAATGTCCGTTTTGGTCAGGTGACAAATGGGCCGACTGTTTACATACAGTCGGTTGACCACCCTGACCGTCAGCAGACAATCGGGCCGACTGACGACGGACGCCCGCCACCGGGTCTCACGACAGAGAATGAGAGGAACAAATAAATGCTTTTCTGAAAATGGAATAATTATGCAGAATCATACGAAGGGAAGTCATCTGGCCACGCTGGCCGGTTGAAAAGTGCTGTGGATTCTCATCTTTCTTAGATTTCGAATTAAAAATGAACTGATTATCATGATATATTGCAATATTTGCTAAATGTAAATTCTGTGAGATCATTGTTGAGAAGAAATTATTTTTCTTTTACTATCCACTCCGAATTCATGAGGAAAAATCAGTTTCTTTTTCGAACGTTGTTCTAGTCTGTTCAAGCCGCGAAACCATTATCTGATTCTGAAAAAAAAGAATTTCTCTATCCATCTTGATACGAATATCTCCACTAGAGAAACGCCAACCGGGTTGGCAACTCGTCGTGAGCCATCTGGCGGCAATGCGCCACACGACAAGTGACAACACGGGTGAAAATTCCAATGTGTTCGCATGCGGAAAACGTGCCCTTCTCTTTTCACGGCAATCACCACAAAGGAGCGCGATAGGAAGTTGTGCGACAGCCGGCAATCAGTGTGCCACTTGTGAATGTTTATATTGCAATCAGTGACGAGACTCGGTCGCAAGCGACTCTGCGGAAAAGCCCAGCAAATCCTCAGCGCGGCATCGCGTTCGGCATCAGGTAAAGAATTGCCCGCGAGAAAGGCCTGGAAGTGGGCATATTTCCTCATCTAATAACACTTGTGTGACCCATTGAGAGCCTAATTGCAATAAATAACAATTAACATTGGGCGACAGCACGCGAAAAAGCACTTTCACTGCGCTCAATCATGCTAACGCTAATGGGAATCGTCTCTTGGGGTGAGTTTGGGTCTCGAGATGCCCAAGATAGTGGCAAATGTGCGCAATTAGACGTTCTTCTCTCTCGCTTCCTTGTCCGCATTTTCCCGCTTTTCCACTCAATCGCCATCCGTCGCTCTGACTGGGCCTCCTTTGACCCGCTCTTCGGCTTCCTCCGCCCGCAATTTGCATCTCTTTTGCCTGGCTTTTGCCTGTGAGTAGAAATTTCATTGCTATTTCTGTCTCTTTGCCTGCAATTTTCTTATTAATTTTCACTATGCAGCCGTTGTTTTCCCGTGCACTCTTGTTTGCTCTCTGCCAAGCAAAGCAATCAAAGTGCAATTGTAAACAAATGAAAGTGCGCGACTTTCAAAGAATCCTGTGATTTCCGCCGGTCAATTTAGCGCTACAAAAGCGCAGTAAAAAAGTGTCATTTTACTGGGGAAATAGACGAAAACCGAGAAGTGAAGTGAGGAAAATATGTTCAAAATAAGTAATATCTGGTGTCTTCTTGGCAAACATGACAATTTTCATCATAAAAATGAAGCAATTTTGAGTAATTCAAACAAAAGAGCAACAAAACATTTGGGAGTCTTAACTCTTGAAGTCTGAAATTTATTGTGTGTTTTTTTATTATTTTTATATTAAATATCTAATAAAGGATCAAACAGTTCCATAAACTCAACTAGGCTTAAAAAGAAATTTGATAAAATATAAGAAATATAAACTATATCATCGGCTTTGCTCGCAATTTCTAATTAGAATTGTTTCCTCTGCCACCAACTGAATAAGTATATATTATTCAGCTGTGCTGGCCAGGAAAAGCGCTTTCCGCATTTGTGATGAATTGCTTGATTTCGATTGATTAACCGCGTTCGGTGCGCTAATGGGTTAAATATCTGGCGAACGTCAAATTCCAATCGCGAGTAAACAACATTTGAAGTGTTTCGCGGTGACGTTGATGGCGAAAACAAAGAGGAAAGTGGAACGTCGCGAGCAAATCAGGCTGACATCCCGTTGGTGTTCCCTCCAGAAGCGCCCCAGATGGCTGTGCTGCTGCCGCCGGATCCCGTGTTCAGCCTGCGCAGCGCCGACATGGGCGCCGTGCACAGCGTCACCTTCGACTCATGCCAGAGGCTCTGCGCGGGCACTGCGTCCGGGCGCATCTTCCTCTGGGACCTGCAGGTGAGTCTGTGTGTCAGCGGACGCTGCCTGTGCTGACCGTGTGGCTTCTTGCAGACGAACCGCTGCCGGATGAACTTCAGTGCGGCGCCGCGGCCCATCATTGCGCTGCATCGGGACGCGCGCGGGGCGCTGGTGAGTCAGGAGAAGGGCGCCGGGGTGAAGGTGTGGCGGCCCACGAACTGCGGCTACGAGGTGAGTGGCCAGATTGAGACTGACAGCGGTAACTTCTGCCGCATCGACTGCTCGGACGAGAGGGACTTGATGCTGGTGCCCAAGGGGGCGAATCACCTGCAAGTGCACAGTCTCAGGGACCTGCAGCTGGTGATGACGCTGCAACCGGAGGCGGAGGAGAGTCTGGGTGCTCTTATGAGTTGCAGAATCATTGATCCGGACGCTGCACACGCGCTGGCGGCCTTCGAGTCCGGCCACTTCGTCACGTGGGATCTGCGTGAGGGAAAGGTGCTGTCATCGGTGAAGCTGGAGGAGTCCCCTATGGCGCTGGATTACGACAGTCTCACCAATCGCGGCATTTGCGCCGGGCCCGGCGATTCCATGCGCGTGTTCGCCTTCCAGCGGCCTCAGATGGCCATCGTGCAGCGCTCGGAGATCGCCCTGAAGAATCCTGGCATCAGTGTCGTGCGCATCCGGCCAGATCGGAAGGTGTTTGTGTCCGGCGGCTGGGACGGGCGCGTCCGGGTGTTCTCGTGGAAGAGCCTGAGGCCTCTGGCGGTGCTGACGGAGCACAAGAAGGGCGTCCTGGACGTGGCCTTCTCGCCAGGAAGTGTCGATCTTTGGAGAGCGCCGCTCATGGCCGTAGCGGGGGAAGATAGCCAAATCTCGCTCTGGAATCTGTACAACTGAGCCAGAGAAAAGTGTTTCCGGTGAAAATGTGGAATCCCTGGAATTCAACTTAACCCATTAGTTCGACCAGTGAAAACTAGAATTAATGTGTCTTGATGAGTCAGAGAGAATAAATGTGAAGAAGGAAATTTCCGTGTTTCACTTTAAGTTTTCACTACAGTAGAAGACTTGAAAATATGTCCATCGAAGGCAATTTTGGTATTTTGGGGGATTTTTGTTCACTTCGAACTTCTTTTTGCTTTAATTTTCTACAAATTGCAATGAAAAAGACAGGAAAAACTAATTGTAACTCATAAATATCTCAAATATAGAGTGATAAATGTCGTAAAAAAAATAATTAGTAATCCACATTTTAAAAATAATTAAATTTCATGATGAACATTTATGATTGTTTACGAAGGTGGTTTTATTTCCATGACCATCACTGTGAAAGTGAACAAATAATGGGTTAAGCGATTGGAAAATGCCTTATCTAATGAGTCGAGTGAAATCCTTTTATCTGCAACTGTTTATTAAGTGCTCCAATATGAGAAATAATCTATCAAGCGACTGGCTTTATGGACTTTTTGAGATGGTAAAAGTGCTATCGTGAAATGCTTATAAATTCCTCTGTATTTTCCACGCTATATTGTTTACCATCGTATGTTTCTCGCCTGATCTATTTTAGAGTGGAAAAGTGTCGTTGTGTGAATGAGAGCATTGAATATATTCCTCATAAAATTCTCCCTCTCCTGACTCATGGCTTTTAAAGCTCCTTTTAGACTCTGCATGCAGAACTGAAGGCTATTTTTACTGTGTCTCTGTGTGCTGGCATGATGTGACTGAAGAGAAGACTGACCGATGGATTTAGAGAGCCACGTTTTTCATCATTTTCAATTGAAACGCCTTCAAGTGCAAGTGTGGTTTTTCATTCTGTGCATTTTTGCTTCGTGACAGCGCCAATTTTTCTATATACATTCAGTGAGATTGAGAGGATTTATTTTTTCCGCACATTCTTGGTGTGTTCTTTTCTTTTTCTTGATGTTGAGAGACCGATAAATGTAGGTCAGGAGAGATGACGATGAGGAATGTGTGAAAATTGAGCACGTGTAGAGCATTTTTGGACGCGCATGCAAATTTGTGAATATTTTGCAGTGCTTCTCACGACACTGACTCGGTGACTCTCTATCTCTAGTTCACTCGAAGATGGTGAAGCAAGGACCGCGTCCGCTGGTGATCTGTGGCCCGTCGGGCAGTGGCAAGAGCACGCTGCTGAAGAAGCTCTTCAAGGAGTTCCCCGAGACGTTCGGCTTCAGTGTGTCGCACACGACGCGCAAGCCGCGCGCCGGCGAAGAGAATGGCATTCACTACCACTTCGTGAGTGTGGAGGAGATGCAGGGCGCCATCGAGCGTCGCGACTTCCTCGAGACGGCCACGTTCAGCGGTAACATGTACGGCACTAGCAAGAGGGCCGTGCAGAGCGTGCAGTCCATGGGCAAGGTGTGCGTGCTGGACATTGAGATTGAGGGCGTGAAGCAGATCCGCAACTCAGATCTCAATCCGCTGCTGGTCTTCATCAAGCCGCCATCCATCGGTGAGCTGGAGCGCCGTCTGCGGGGGCGCAACACGGAAACCGAGGAGAGCCTGCAGAAGCGCCTGAACACAGCCAAGTGCGAAATTGAGTACGGTAAGAAAATGGACTCTGAGCGCATTCGCGTGTCTAGAAATAACACAGAAAAAGTGACCCCAAAAAAAAACCAGCGTGACACACTTTTTTCTCCTTAATCCACCGATGACCTTCAACTCTGGCAAACATCACTGAGCTCAAATGCATTTTAGGATCATCATCGACAGATTGCCGGCAATTGTGCAATGATGTGTGGCTAAAATTAGCCAAACAAGCCGGTAATGATGAAATTGCTGAGGCAAAAATCAGTGCCTTTTCATGCATCACGTGGCGCAATTATCATTTCAAGAGGCTCAAGAGCGACAGATAACTTAATTATTGACAGACATAAAATGTCTCAGAGTGGAAAGATTGTCATTTTCCTTGTTCTAATGAGCTTTTCGAAAGAGATCAAGGCAATTTTGGGGAATTTTCTTGCTGAAAATGTGTCTTAAGCATCACAAGTTGTGATATTTTCATCAGAAATTTGTCTTTTATCGATTAGAAACCAATAAATGAAGGCTAAAAAGAGAACTATTATAACTATCAATCAAATCTGTTAATTTCTCACTGGAAATGTATTTTTACTAATAATTCTAATTAATTGTTCTTACTTGAATCATAATTTTGATCAACAGAACCCAAATTTTCATGCGGTGGACTTCAAACTTATTGCGCTGTTGAAGTGGTTATTTTTAGGCACGTCGAGAAATATTGTTTATTTCTTAGCACTTTTGCGCTAATTACATTTTTATCTTTCATACTGATATTTCAAGAGAAGCCACCAAGGGGAAGATAATATGACTGAAAAATTCCTGACACTTTCAATTGAGTGACTCATATAATTTCTAAGGCCCTTTTGTTGAAACTCTAAGGTTTCCATTCTATATTCCTATTTTCACCAATTTAAGAACTTGTTAAACCGCAATTAGACGATAACATAAAAATATATTATTACATTATAATGTGTTCCCCTTGGCAGAGTGACGACTGTTCGATTTCTCACGAAATAAGTGTGTTGAATGTCTTTACATTTCTTGTGCCAACACGCAATGACAATAAGTGTTTTATTAATTGGCAGGAAGCGTTCCTGGGAATTTCCACGTTGTCATCCATAATCGGCACCTGAAGCAGGCCTACCAGGAGTTGCGCGACTTCGTGGTGAAGGAGCTGGAGACGCAGCGCGAGGAAGGTACTCATGTGATTCTAACCCGCTGTGAGGAAGTCGATTCCTCCTGAATCGCCTAACCCAATTGCGTGTGTTTTGCCGGAGTTTTATCACTTTGACACTAATTGTTGCAAGAATCCAACGGAATGGATGGATTTTGTGTGCGTGTGTGTCAATATTTCACACTGGATGCAATATTTGTGAAGGAATTGGAGAGGAGAAACATTCCATGACAATTTACTTATATTAACCCACTTAGAAGAAGAAACTTAGGAACAAGAGAACAAACATTAGAAAAAAAGTAATAAAGACACTTTAGAGCGCCTCAACTAAGGGCAATTTGTAGGTGATATTTTTCCCCCCCTTTCTTGTATTTCTAACACCCTCAAGAAGAGCCATGAAAACCTTTACATTCTTAGGCAAAAAGAATAGAAAAAAAACACTAAAGACTAGAGACATTGAAAAACATGTTTTGCCAAAAAGCAAGTGAGTGTTGTGAAGAATTTTGCTAACAATGCAATGCAGTTCCCATTCGAGCATGTTTATTTGACCGATTATATTTGCCCTCTTTATCGGCGGTGTCGATCGAAAATATGATATACTTTGTGTCTTGGCAGCGCCATTCATCATCAAAGGTTACAATTTCTCGGACCAACAGTGATCATCATCGGCTAGAGAGAGAGAGAGAGAGAATCCAAGCAAAAAAATTTCCCAAAAAGCAACTGCAAATTATATCGAATCATTTATACACAAATCAATTGGTGATGTCTTAAAAAAAATGCCATACAAACAGATTTTGTATTGAAATATGAAATGAATTCATATATAATTTTTATACCTGCAATGAATTGATGTATTATTAATGATTTTTTGTACATTGAAATTGAGAGTCAATATATGTATTTAAATAAATGTGTGTAAACTTAAATAAGATAAATAAAAGGTTGAAAATAAAGTTTGATTGTCTGAAAATTTGTGATTTTTTTTTCCTTAAGACGAGAATGAAATTATATTCTAGACTCCTTAATAGTTTTCAGGAACGTTAGCAGTGCTTTGGATGGACCTTACTTACATTTTCTTCCTTTCCACGATGAAGATCACAGTCTAATGATCACACATTTCGAGAGTCGTTGGAATGATTTAATGTGAAACCCTTAAAATGTTTGAGAGTTTGATGGAGAACTGTACGAAACCTGTCAAATGCTCCACGGAAATCCGTCTTACGGATAGACGTTTTACAGGGGCACTGATTGCCTCTCTTTTCCGGCTAATAAGTTCTTTCGCCAAAAGTAACTGAATGAATTAAGTTTGATTCACTGTGATTGTTGAGGAAATTAGACGATTTTTTTTGTTGACAAAAATCACACGACAACTTTACGCGCCTACTTCCTTATGCAAATTTATCATGAATATAATTTAATCTACATGAATTATCCCTAAACCTTTTGCGTGCAGTGCGCAAACAAAACAATGTCATAACATATGTTGGCAATCTGTGAATGAGAAATAACTTGTGGTATTTCAAATTAATATCCGTCTAATATAAATAATTAAATCTGCAAGTATTAGCCTCAATCTAACGAGAGTGTATCAATTAAATCTTTGCAATATTCGCCTCAGCCAAGGCGGTTTGTTATGCAAATTTCTCCTGAGAAAGTTACATAAAAGCCATCCTCTCATTAAAACTAGATCTGTTTGCGGTGCAAAATGCAGTTGGACGTTTCAGTGTGAAATACATATAGACTCTGTCTTGTGGTGCGCCTTCGAGATGCTATTCAAATAGCATTTGTGGGGTCCACATTGTTTCCCACACACGATCAATGAGAAATCAATATAAGAATGCATATTCGCCAAAGCGCGCAGAATGAATGAAAGCGAGAAGCTGTGGTGTTTCATTGCATAATTTCACCTCACAAAGTGACACACATGATCTTTAATATGGCACACGGATACACAAGCACCGAAGGCATTGCCCCAGAGACTGAATCTTTATCACATTTTCTCAAGCTCGCCGCCTCATTGCTCTATGTACCTGCACTGATGCCGAAGAGATGAAAAGTGAATGTGAATTCTACGCTTTTTTCCGACCGCCATTCGCCCATCTGTGCTGCTCACTTGGCTCCATTTTCGCAGCACAAAGAGACTGACCAGTCGGTTGGTTATGTAAAGAATGGGTTCAATCCACTGACCCAGAGTCACACTCTCGGTAAATTACATGTCTTTTCCTCCTCTCGGTCAGACATACTGCCTAATTGCCGCGTTATTAGCGGCAATTGAAGAAATAAATGTGTTGAAGTCATACAATTTCGCGCTTCGCGTTTGCGAAGAGACGGTGTGTTTGGCCCTCATTTGGCCAATTTCTTAACCACATTACTCAGCTATCACATTCTATTTATTAAACATGATGATCTTAAACCGTGTGATAGCGCCGCTAGTGAAACGTATTTTCAGACTCTATTCTGGATAATATACACTTTAATTTTATGGTTTTTGCGATATTGACATTATTCAATTCATCAAGCATTTTACGATGCTTCAGGAATGTTAAGAATTTCTCAATACACATTTAAATTGAGAGTCGTTAACCTGAACAAATCTCCATGTTAATCTCTCTCTCTCTCTCTCTCTTTTTCAGTGTTGGCAAAAAGTGAACAAGTGCAGAGACACACTTCGAGCAAAACACTTTCTTCGTGACGCTTTAGGCCGTGGAAAAAAGTGAATTTGCAGAAGATATTATGTACATCAACTTTACTGACTTAATTTCTACCATTCGTAGTGTAAACAGTTGTACAATATTGCGATTATTCGGATAATTTTCACGCCCCAACTGAAAGCAAATAGGAAAGAGATTATCTTGTTCATCTTCTTGTGTGAATCTATTCATCTTGCTTGAAGAATTTGCAACTTTCCACCCAAAAATTCATCATCATTGCATAATGATTAGCAAGAGCACTTAGAGTAGCAAAGAATAATCACAATGTGACTACACAAAATGTCTGTTTACATAAGTGGCTGAAGATTCTCAATGAGAAGACAGTAAAAGGTGGTTTTTTTAATATTTATTTTAACTCTACACGTGCTGTCGCGAGATTACTTTCCGAATTGCATAATTCGCGAGTAAAGGGACGTCTTTTTTCCCATTCCAGCCAAAGACACGCAGTCTTCAAATTGAGGGGGGAAAAAAGCATAACCAAGAGCTAGAGTGAGTTGAGAGCGGAGCTCCAATTCTGCCTTAATAATCCTTTAAATTTATTATTGAGGTCTCCGCCGATCACCGAGAAACGTGATTCTGCATTGAGTGATATAAATCTCTCGATGGTGCTTTGGAGGCTATTGGACACTCTTGTGCAACATTTTCTTGCTGGAAATGAATCGTGATGAACACATTAATTGTATCTATTTCGTTGCTTGCCAGCGCAGGTTGGCGGAGAAGGTAGAAATATGAAAAAATACAGTACAACAACAGTGGCACTACTTTACCAATTGCATTTCCTCTTATGTCCGGTGGGAAATACTGCGAAAACTCCACACATTGCTCTCTTCCTCAACAGCTCGGTAATTATAGTCATTCGGCTTCTGGGCGCATTAATTTTCCACACATTTTTTCGCACTTTTGTGAAGCAATCATATGAACAATTCCCCAAATGTGGTCCACCTTTTCGGTGTAGGTTTTCTTTCTGAGAAGATAGCAGAAAAATGAGGAATTAAATCAGCACTTCATTCATGATTAAGTGCCTAATGAAGTATAATATGTTGGAGTTGAAATTTAGAATATATGAAATATTGCAGTCATAAATGCTTCACTTGGAAACGCAGGTCATTTTGCACTGTCTAAAGACATGAGAAGTGTTTTTTATATGAAGATTTTATTGATATTTTTTCTCGTGATTACTGAATCAAAACGACAAACAAATCACTTGCTAAGCTGCTCCTCAAGTTGTTTGAATTGCACCAAAATAAGAAGATACGAAGCAGTAGTAGAAAACACCTGGAAAATACAATTAACAATTAATGATTTCACCATGATAATTTACCAGAAAGTACCCAAAAAGCAGAGGAATTGTTTATATCAAAGGTTTCGGCGAATGAAAGCTTTTCCCTTGAATGAAGTCTTCGTAGAATAATTTGTTCCACATTGAATAAAACAATTCTGTCTTCCGAGAACTCTTCAGTTTCAGAACGAACATTCAATTCGAACAGCTTTTCCGCCTTTAAATTAAACGATAACAATCATAATCAGTCTGAAAAGCAATGAATGCTGTGAAATTTTCATTTACTTCGTCAGCAAAATTACTCCCAACAATCGATATGTAAATGACGTAAAATACACTTCTCAAATTCCAAATTCCACATACGAATATCACATTGTTTCTAGCCAGAATATGTTCTGTCGTGAAGACGAACCAAAACAAGTAGAACAAACTCATAATGCAATCCAGCAAATGTTGAAATACTTTTAGGAAAATCATTGTTCCGAAAAAGGTGTTTATTGGTGTTAGGATACGAAAGAAATCTCTTATCAAACGAAAGAGGAAAATTTGTGTTCTCATCTTGTCACTGTTATCTCGAAGGAATTTAATAATTTTAGTAATTTCCTTGAGAAAATATATCGCATAGAGAAAAATTACATCATTCACAAGCATGCAAAGAGAATATATCACGAATCCACTTATGCTAATCTGTGCAACATTCGAGAGTAATGTATAAAAAATGATGAAGAAATTGAAAAATCCATTCACAAGGAGATCCAAATAAATCAACAAGTGTGATTCCTTTTTCTTCTCGTGGTTTGTAAACATATAAACTTTCTTCTCAATATCTTCGACATTTTGCAATAGCTGCAAGTGTATCTTGTTGTACGCCAATCCAATGATCATAACTACAATCATTCCATTTCTGTTCACGTACACTTGAATGACAAATAGTAAGTAGTAAATACCACCCCTTAGTTCGTGCATCATTAGTGAATCTTTGGCGTATTGGAAAGTTCTTTGATAATCACACAAACAGATAATAAACATTAAAAATATAACGATGCTTCGAAACAATAAGTTTTTCTTCACGTTCACTTGATAATTTGGCAGAAGAAGAACTTTTTGGAGAGAAAATAAAGGTCCAAGATTCTCAATAAATGGCATTTTGGGAAACTAAATTTATTCTACTAAGCAGAAGTTGGATAAAGAAAACTTTTATAGGAAAAGCAATAAAAACAATTTGTTGGCGTGAATCCAATCAATTTATTGCCTTATTATATTCATAATTGGTTTGATTAATTTAACTTATTAGTTAATTAGTTGTCCTCAAGTTGCTTAAATTGCACGAAAACGAAGAGATACGTTGCAGTTACGGAGAAAACCTGCAAGGAATATGTTAGTAACGTTACATTTCTCCGCTTTATGATTAGTTTATTACCCAAAATATATTAGAGTTGTTTATATCAAGAATGCCAACGATGGAAATATTTTTTTGCGAATGAAAATTCTTCAGAAGAAATTGTTCAATGTTGAATTTAATATTGACTTGTTCAAACTCTTCTTTTGTACTGATTTTAAATATATTTTTCACCTATAAAATAAGTAAATATAATCGATAGTGAATGGATAGTATTGGAATTGTCTACAATCTTACATTTTTAGCAAACTTATTGCCGACAATCGATACGTAGACAATGAGAAGTGCACTTCTGGACAACCATGCAGAATTATTCCATATGAGCTGAGTTCTGCTTCTGAAAATATCTGTTCCAAAAATGAACCAGTACATGTAGAAAATACCTGTGGAGCAATTGTACAAGTGCTGGAAAAGCAAGACACAAAGCACTAATCCAAACGTCACATTTATTAGTGGCACTAATTTAATGAGTTCTTCTATAGAATTGAAAATTATTGTCTCACTTTCAACTTTATCCACATTCTTGAGAAAGAGGAGAATTATTCTGTTTACCTCCTTGATGAAGTGAATCACGTAGAGGA